TTTATAACGGTACAAAATACAACAAAATTAATTAATGCATTAATAAGAGTAATTAGTGATTGGTCTAATTGTTCGGTGTATTCTTTAATTAATACAACCACTTTTGTTTACGAAGAGTACATTTTGAAAACGCACAAAAACACAACTCTCGATACTTTATTTAGTACATTCATTTCTTTACTCTTTTATATTCTGTTTTTTCTAAAAGTCAAATAAATGAGACTTTTAAAGTGGCTCTAAATAAGGGGAAACCGTACTAATTCCCCCTCCCAAAACTTTCATATCCTCGTAAATAGATCCGGATAAATAATCTCGAAGAGAGGCGGTTCCTTGCTTGCTTATCGAGTTACTGATTGAGGCGATGTGGTGAGGTTGGATTTTTTCCGTATCGACGACCGTTTCTTTCTCTCCAAATCTCAAGTTACTTGGAAAATGTACCGTGTTAGGAAAGCTTCAATTTTCGGCTACCTTGTATCCGATTTTAGTGCAACGATTCTGTCCCACTGCATTGAGAACTTTGTTTTGAGGAGTCCTTTGGTTAGTGAATGCCACACTGTCGATGCATACCCACTAGTGAAGAATAATTGATCGCGAGTTTGCATAAAATACATTTAAGAAATTATTTTTGTGTAAAGTATTAAAATGAAATCTAAAATCTTAAAAATAGATAACGCATAAATTCATTACTGAAATTTTATATGATAAATGAGATCAATTAAATATGAGGCGCATAACATCATAATTCATAAGGTGCACAACATCATAATTGGCAAATACATATTGGATCTAATCATTTAGTTCCTTTGCTTGCAGCTATTTTAGTATTTACCAATTTCTCCAAAATATTTTGCAATCTTCTTTTCTGTTTTCTCTATTTCCTCCTCTTAAATGCGTCTTTGAATGTTTTTCATAAGCTGAGGTTGGCCTCGTACAAAGTTAACGTTCACAAATTCTAATCTCTTATGACCGATTCTTTTAAAGCCCTGCGGAATAAACAAAATTTGCAGGTCTACATAACTTATCATCGAAAAATAGTATTACGATAGTTTAAAAAAAAACACTTACATATATCCACATATTATCCAGAAAGTAAAGATATTTGCTTTTATTGAAATATTCAAAATATTTCGAAAGAAAGCCTTGTTTAGAATATTTCGGAAGAATGTCTACGATAAACTCTTTCTCCTTCCAAATGATGAAACTCTCATTACTTTGACTCCATGAGACAATCGAGTTCGATGAAGGATCATCCACTATCTCATATGTTTTTATGAGAAAAAATGGAAGTGAGCTTGATGATGAACCTTCTTGATTCTCATTCATCCCTGCACCTATAGCAAGCAAATTTTATTTTGTATTGTGGGGTTAAATGATTTCATATACTCAGCAATTTATAGATATGAGTGGTCAAAGTGGATCACAACTATTAATTATTTTTACTTAAGTAAACAAAATATTAATATGGAGCTTATAGTTAATGTTGATCTTTTATATTTTACAAATATTTCCATTGGAATTAAATCTCTCTAACCAAATTTCAACCCAAATCTAATTGGTATAATCTAAATGGAATACATGTCTAGTCTAAGCACCATATCTTGATTAGTTTTTCCCTTCCAATTTTGGATGAATTAGATATATAAACAGGAAATGTGTTGAGTTTTGG